CCACGGGAGACTCCGCCTCATCCACTGCGGGAATGCCCTCGTCGTTGGGAATCTGGGACTGCGACTGTTTGTGACTGCCCCAGCCCGCACGACGGAATACTTGCCACTTTTGTACGGACGGCCCTTGCGCTACTCACTCGCTATTGTAGCAGCATACAACCAAAACAGGATAACAAGCTGCTTTGTGGTGAATATTGGCTGCACTTCCCGTGGACCAACAATCCGCGTGGTGTGCGGGGATCTCCTTTTTTTATTGTTACTATGCTTTTGTGTTGCTGTGTGCGCCGCACCTTCTTGTGTGTGTGCGCACCCTCCGTGAGGGGTGCCGACACGACGGACCGCTCTCGCCGCATGTGCATGCGGTGGAGTCTTGTGTGCCGCTCCTGTTTGCTTCTCCCTCCTCCATCTGTGTGTTGTTGTTGCGGCAGGGCTGTGTGTGTGTGTGTGCCTGCTGCCGTGGATTGGAGTGTGTGTCGTGCGTGCTGTGCGGCGTACGGTGCATGCCTGGCTGCTGCCCTCTCCTCATGTGGTGTGCCCTCTGTGTGTGTCTGCCGCACCTCTCGTCTCCCCTGTTGCTCTCCATTTCCCTCACTGTGCAGATCAGCTCCACACCACTGAACGACCACACTCACGATGATGATGACGTGCCGTCTGCTGTGCGCCCTGTTGGTGCTTGCCCTGTGCTGCTGCTGCTCGTCCCTGTGCGCGACAGCGAGTAGTCAGGATTCAGGTAAGGACGGCCCCACTTCTTCGGTTACTCAGTCACAGGGAATAGGTGTTTCAGGGGCAACAAATTCTTCCACGACGTCAAGTTCAGCAGCTGCGGCCGTTGCATCACCGGGAAAAAGTGAAAAGTCCGATACGCAAGGGGCTCCAGGTGCGGAAGAAGCTCTGCCAGAAAATCCAAGTGGGGCGACCGCTCTGGCAGGAAGTCCAGGTCCAACAAGTCCGGTGCCTATTACAAAAGGGAGTTCAGGTGGGTCCGGCAGTTCAGGGAGTCCGGTTCCGGTGGCCGATACGGTACAGAAAAATGGCGAAAACGATACGAGAGACTCAAAAAGTGGCAATAATCCATCCACAGACCATGCAAATACGAATTCCGACGATTCGGACAAGAAGACCACGGCGGCTAATACCACTACTACGACAACCACGACGACCACCACTACAACACAGGCACCAAGCACTACGACTAAAGAGGCGCCAGCTGTGTCGACCACCCGCGCACCGTCACGTCTTCGCGAAATCGACGGCAGCCTCAGCAGCTCTGCGTGGGTGTGTGCCCCGCTGGTGCTTGCCGCATCCGCGCTGGCGTACACCACTGTGGGCTGAAGAGGTGTGTGCGGGCTGTGCGTGCCAGCACTCAACCGCGGGGATTTGTGCGCGTGTGTTGTGGTTCACTGTATAAAATAAGAGAAAATAATGATTGTGTTTTGCTTCATTTGCTTCCGCTGCCGTGCTGTGTGCTCCGCGTTGTGCCCCGCATCCGCCATGTTGAACGCATCGCGGACACACTCATATGCATGCGCACTGGAGCCCTGGGTTTGTTTTTCTTTTCTTTAATTATTGTTTTTTATTGCTTTTTAAACCTGTGGTTTGCGGTGCGGTGTGCGAGCTCTGCAATCGTACTGATTCCATCTGTCTCGTGGTGTGTGCGCTGCTGCTGCTGGGGTGCTGCCATTTGTTGCTGTGCGTGGTGTAGCGGCTGTGTCTCCCTTTGTTTGTCTCGTGCTATCGCAGGTTGGTTCCGCAGCGTTAGGCAACTCCACTGTTTGTGATGATGACTGGCCGTGTGCTGCTGGTGTGTGTCCTCTGCGTGCTGTGGTGACGATGGTAGTGCGGGTGAGTATTAGCTCCTGCGGTGACGTGCTCAGCTGCGGAGTGCGCGATGGATGGCAGCAGAAGGACAGGGAGGCAGGGCGAATGCGTCCGCCGTGGAGGAATGCGTGCGTAATTGTATGGCCGTCGTCCCTGGAGGCGCCAAGGGATTGCCGTTGCTGCTGACACCGCTGAGGATAAGGGGGTATGCTGCAATCCAATGAACACTCAACGAGATGCGTCGCCAGCCGCGTAGATCGCCTGCCGTTAGAACGAGGAGAAGACAAGGCGGCGCGCCACCAGAGGCACCGGCAGTATGTGGAGGATCAGCGGGATGGCGTTATTTGCCGCTCGAAATGAAACCGAATGTGTCGGAGTCACACGACGCTTTGAGTGGTGCTGGACAGCGGGAGGAGTCAACTGTGAATGGTTCAGAAGGCAAGGCTCAGATGCTGATGGCTCCTGTCACTGTGGGGCGCCTGGAACTCGTGCCCCAAAGGGAGCGAGCATTGCCCTCTTCGGATGGCAGTCGCGCCACCGGCAGTCGGGAAAACGAATCCGCTCAGGATGAAAAGTTGAAAGTCACTGAGTCATCGGGGGCGGTGGGACAGAGGGAGGAGCCCAGCCCCCAACACAGCCTGCCATTGGGGGGCGAAAAGGATCACTACCAACAAAACCAGCCGCAGTACCGGGCGAACCAATAAGACAAACAGCAGGGGCAGGAACCGCCGCAAAGGGCAGAAGGGTCTGACAGCCGACATGAAGTTTCATGGCCAGAGAATGGCGAAGGTAGCGCCAAAACACGATGCGGGTTCAAACACAACTTTTGCACAGGTACCGGGTGATGCACCACAAGAAGAATCGGGAGGAGAAGTTGCAGTAGAAGCAGCTGGTGGAGATGAGGCAGAAAGGAAGGAATTTGCAGCACACCAAGACACCGTGCAGCATGCACCATCTCCCATTCACGAGAGGCCATCGCAGTCATCGTCTTTTTCAAATGGCGGCTTTGCTGCATTAGATTGGAAGGAGTAATGCACCGTGCAGGAGATTTTCAAACAGCCTCCACTTTCTGTCGCTGCAGAGAAAACAGAAACGTACCGGCGTGAGGACAAAGCGCCTGCTGCCGAGGCTGACAACTGCACCGCATTTCTTCCAGCTGCAGAGTTTAACGCCGCCGCCAGCACCACCACGACCAATCATAATGCGAGCCACCTGAACGGAGAGGACGCCGGACCCTCCACAGAAGAAGTGGAGAAGAAGAATGCAACAACAAAACCGAAGGCACATCAGCCGGCACAGTTACCCCGCAGTCCACAGCGAGGGGTTCACGAGGGACATCGCCACCGCCACTAACAACATAAACACAGCTTCGCATGGCGGCAGTGACGGCAGCACCGTAGTCTCCCACACCACCTCCCTTTCTTGTTTCTTGTTGCGTGTGCAGCAGCTCCTGTTGCGGTGGTGGCCGGGCCTGCATGAAATTGAGTGCGCCGAATGTGGACGAAGGCCTACTGCAAATGAACTGCTTGTGGTGAATATTGGCTGCACTTCCCGTGGACCAACAATCCGCGTGGTGTGCGGGGATCTCCTTTTGTATTGTTACTTTGCTGTTGTGTTGCTGTGTGCGCTGCACCTTCTTGTGTGTGTGCGCACCCTCCGTGAGGGGTGCCGACACGACGGACCGCTCTCGCCGCATGTGCATGCGGTGGAGCCTTGTGTGCCGCTCCTGTTTGCTTCTCCCTCTTCCATCTGTGTGTTGGTGTTGCGGCAGGGCTGTGTGTGTGTGTGCCTGCTGCCGTGGATTGGAGTGCGTGTCGTGCGTGGTGTGCGGCGTACGGTGCATGCCTGGCTGCTGCCCTCTCCTCATGTGGTGTGCCCTCTGTGTGTGTCTGCTGCACCTCTCGTCTCCCCTGTTGCTCTCCATGTCCCTCACTGTGCAGATCAGCTCCACACCACTGAACGACCACACTCACGATGATGACGTGCCGTCTGCTGTGCGCCCTGTTGGTGCTTGCCCTGTGCTTCTGCCCGTCCGTGTGCGTGGCAGACGCTGAGCCTGAAGTTGATGTTCAAGGTTCTTCCAGTACGGCAACGACGAATAAAACGCAGCCACCAGACCCCAAAGGGAAGGACGATCTCAAACCTGATGAAGTTGTCGTTCCACCGCCTCCACCACCACAGGCACCAACTGCTAAGCCGGTTGAAGCTATTGTAGGCGCCCCCAGTCAATCGACCCCTGGAACAGGAACACCACCTGTTCCTGGTCAGTCAGATCCTCCAACAACAGAGTCCGTTGCAAAGCCGGGAGATGATGTCGGAGAGGGACCAGGATCTAGCAGTATGGGAACGAATTCAAATGAGGTGTCCAATGCGTTACAGGCAGATGGTAATAAGGGTAAGACAGGGTTACCCAGTCACAAGAGACTATCTGAGGAACGGGCAAATAGGGAGTCTGAAGATTCTACCGAGGAGACCACTACGACCACGACAACAAAGGCGCCAGCTGTGTCGACCACTACTACAACACATGCACCAAGTACTACGACTACAGAGGCGCCAGCTGTGTCGACCACCCGCGCACCGTCACGTCTTCGCAGAATCGACGGCAGCCTCAGCAGCTCTGCGTGGGTGTGTGCCCCGCTGGTGCTCGCCGTATCCGCGCTGGCGTACACCACTGTGGGCTGAAGAGGTGTGTGCGGGCTGTGCGTGCCAGCACTCAACCGCGGGGATTTGTGTGCGTGTGTTGTGGTTCACTGTATAGAATAAGAGAAAATAATGATTGTGTTTTGCTTCACTTGCTTCTGCTGCCGTGCTGTGTGCTCCGCGTTGTGCCCCGCATCCGCCACGTTGAACGCATCCCGGACACACTCATATGCATGCGCACTGGAGCCCTGGGTTTGTTTTCTTTTCTTTTTAAATTATTGTTTTTTAATTTCTTTTTTATTGCTTTTCAAACTTCTGGTTTGCGGTGCGGTGTGCGAGCTCTGCAATCGTACTGATTCCATCTGTCTCGTGGTGTGTGCGCTGCTGCTGGGGTGCTGCCATTTGTTGCTGTGCGAGGTGTAGCGGCTGTGTCTCCCTTTGTTTGTCTCGTGCTATCGGAGGTTGGCTCCGCAGCGTTAGGCGACTCCACTGTTTGTGATGATGACTGGCCGTGTGCTCTGCGCCCTGTTGGCTCCTGCAGTGATGTGCAGCTGCTCGTGCGTGTGAGTGAGGGCTGCTGCGACGGGGTGCGTGTGCGGCCGCGGGTGATGGCGCAGTGGCTGCTGGGCACGCACGGGGTGTGATGGCTGCGGAAGGTGGACCCGTGGCCGGTGGCTCTGGACGAAAGGGGGAATGTGAACTCTGAGGACAATAGCAATCAGGAAGACGAGGAGGGTGGGGGAAACACCGTGGGTGAGGACCCCAATCCCACCTCGGGAGGACCACTCACTGCTCCGACGAGACAGGGCCAATCCAGCAGCGACCCACTGCGAAGTGGCACTTGTAATCCGTCCGGCACTGGCAGCGCGTCTGCTGCTCGGATGCGTGCAAGTGGACCGGAGTCTTTGGGCGGAGGGCACGCCGCAGGCACAACATCCCCACGCTCCGACGCGTCTCAGCAGGCAGCGGGTGGAGTGCATGCTGGTGGCGGGAGGACCTCCCAGGGCAGTCGGGCTTCGGAACAAACCGTCACGGGACAGTCACAGGTGCCAGGGACGGCGAAGGAAGCACCGCAGGGCGATGAAGGAGGAGAACCCGGAGCACAACACGAGGCCGACCAAGCCACAAAAATGACTGTGGTGACCTCTTGCGCAAAAACAGCGGTGGAACAGGAGAGCCGCCAACGGGATCGCAAGATGCACCACGTCTCTACAGTGGCGGGAATGCTCATTATTATTATTATTTTTCTCTTACCGACATGTCTAGCCACACGATGTCATCAGGGTGACGAGGGGATGGTCGAGCAGCGACATGAGTTTCCTGCCATGAGGCAGCTGCCATTGGGAGAAGCTTTCGGTGCCAAGGTCCTTCTTGATGCCCAGCCGTTGGCGCACAGCCAGAGCGTCTGTACATTCCGGAAGCAGATGGTGCATTGTTTTCTGCGGGCTAATTGTTGCGCTTGTGGAGACTGGCTGATCCTGCGGTAGCAGAGATTGCCTCCTGGCACTGCTGCTGCGGTGCCGAGTAGCGTCTGGGTTTTGTGCGCGGCGATTTCTGTGCTGTGCGGTGCTTTTTTTGTGTGGGGAGGACCGTGTCGCAGCAATCGCGGTGGAGGTCGGGAAGCGGTGGAGGGCGTTCCGGATGAAGGCACCGACAGTGACCGATGTGGTTTGTGTGTTCCACCAGTGTGGTGTCACAGTGCGAACATTTCTTCTTCCGACGCTGTGTGGAGGGCCGTCTCTCCACAGGCGGTGCGTCGGCCTCCCTTGTCGTCGGGGGAACAGCTTCCGTCCCGGTGCGGTGGGATCGTCGTTGGAGCGCATGAAAGCGGAGTGTTCCGGTGAGATGTTGCGGAAACGGCGTTGGTTCGTGCAGTCTCTCACAGTCCAGTACAGGCGACCCCAGAGCTCGGATTCCCCGCACCCTTCCCGTGCAGTGTTTGCCCGTTCCTGTTGGTCGAGGGCTTCCTGAGTGATCAGGTGCTTGCCGCCTGGATCTGATGGCCTGGCGCCGCCAAGCAGGTAGTGGTGGGTGTCCTGATGCATGGTACTACGCCACTTGTTGGTGAGCTGGGTAGTAAAACATGACAGCGGATCCGTATGCCATATGGGTGCTATTCCATGCTCCGTGTGTTGCCCGGTTGCCGTGGCCTGCGTCGCATGCTGATCTGCAGGCTCGTTAACGTGTACTCCGCGATGTTCGTAGCAAAACTGCAGCTGCACGGACCAGCC